GAACATGGTGTAATTAATGTGCTGGTCGTTGAGATCAGACAATCCATCAGCAAGTGGGCGTGCAGCTGGAAAACAGAGAACCAGGGAGAATCGAGAAGCCATCAAAAACTCATCTGCTCCTGTATGTGTTCCCACTGGAGGAAATGATGCTCCCAGTCACTGGGGCCAGGGCTGTAGACAGGAAGATGTTTGGATCTGTATAGCAACTGTGACATGGTTATACAAATTGTACCTGAAACTAACCATCTGGTTCTCAGAGCTGAGGGCAGCAAGCTCTAACTGGATCCAACTGGATCTGTGTTGATGTTTATGGTTCAGCAAGGACATAGATTTGACACAAATCATCATATTTACTACTTAACAAAGGACAACCAACAGCAGGCTCAATCAACAGTCAGCACTGAAGAGATTCAGAGTGCAATAGGTGTTATAACCAAGACTTTTCTTTCTAATGTTGCATATAATCTGTTAAGATGTCCACATAAATGTGTTGTAAAGTGAAAGCAATCTGTTTCCATATAGTGAGACTCATGCATGATTTGCCAAAAAACATATATTCTACTCTGATAAATTTATATTTATTATCAAAATTGTTATTGTACATTCATAGATATTTGTATGAATGAAAAGCCCCACAATATATAAACCATAAAAACCTGAAAAATACCTGAACACTTTTATTTTATTCTCATTATTTGATTTAATAATCTGCATATTGCTTCTCTTCTTTATTTATTGGGCCTAAAACAATTCATGTATATCAGACGTCATACTTAAACAAGTCTGATACTGAAACTTTAAATTGGATTGATTTGTTGGTCTTTAAATTGATTTAACTGTATCTTTTCTAAATGTATCTTTAGCTTGTTTGAAATTAACCTACAATTTGGAATTTTACACCCCATCAGTCAGTTATCTTTACCTATTCTGGGCATATTGTTTTCTACAAAGAAATATGTATTTTTACTGACCCCTATTGGTCAAAGCATTGCAAAAACACTCAGCTCTATATAGTACTGAAAAACATAATTGATTTTATTGCAAGACTTCCCCTGTCACATAAATATCGTCCACATGATTTGCACTGTTGGATTTAGAAAAGTACAATCGAAACAGTTTTATTTAAATTTAAGTTTTAAGCAGGATTGATTCACAAAACAGTTTGATGCCTGCTAAGACTAGATAACACTCAGACTTTATTGTACCAGTTTAATGCTTTTTTAAAGTGACCTGTTGCATGTTTGGATTTGATGAGTACTTTTAGGAAAAGGGCTCAATTTTTACTTATTTTGAAAACTGTTCGCAACTCTTTACAGATTTGATGTCTTTTTGACTATGCAACCAAAAACATGCCCAGATAATGTGAAGTGTGCAATTGCAACAAAATGTTTTAGGGGCAATAAGACCTTTGCTAATCTGTAATCTTTTAATTCCTTTATAAAAACAAAAGTAAAATAATGTTCAATGTAAACAGTTACCCTGATCCTTGCATATCTATATTATAAATTTAAATATATATTAGATGTGTGTATTTTCAATATGAGACTGATACACCAACATTTAACAACATGCTTGCATCAATTCTTTCTTTATATTTGAAAGGCTAATAATTAGATATTTTGAAATCTTGCATACAATAAATAAGCTTATATCTGAATGTAAATAGATAAAAATCAACTAAATTACATCTCTTATTCAAGTGATGTCAAATCCATAAAGAGGTGTCCTTTTTTTCTTAATAAATGCAGCAGCAGATGTCGAAAGTGTTTCTGTGCTGGGAGGAGACCCTGAATAATTATGTACAGCGTCAGGTGTTTCTGAAAAGGAACAGCTTCTCTTCTGATCAGATAAAAACAGATAACATAAAACCAACAGTGTTGTGCAGAGCAAAGGTTGGTATTAACCATTTACAAGGTAAAGTACCAGAGCTGGCACCAAGCTACTGTTTTGTAGGTCTCAGGTCTGTTCACTGGAGTCTCAAGTCAAGTCCCATCTTAAACTTAGAATATTAAAACAGCAGGACGAACAGACAAGCATAAAATTAAGTAACAGAGTAACAGCATTTCATAAATCTCAATGAAACAGCTTCCAAGTTATTTATTAACCAAATGAGGCAGTAAGTGTTCATGAACTTAAGAAGAAAAAAAATCATTTGGAGTGGGGTTTAACGTATCGAGGCAACACAAGGATGTTTATTGAACTGAAACACAGGTGCAGTACTTACCCATATAAAAGCTATAGCTCAGTGACGGAGCTAGATGGGGGACCAGGCCGATAATTAGCCGATAATTGGCCAATATTTAAAACATTTTAATTTTTCATACATTAACAATTACTTGACAACAAAAACCTGCGATGGACTGGCGACCTGTCCGGGGTGTACCCTGCCTCTCGCCAGTAGACAGATGGAGATAGGCACCAGCACCCCTCGCAACCCAGCTTGGGATAAGCTTGTTAGAAGATGGATGGATGGATGGATGGATGGATGGATGGATGGATGGATGGATGGATGGATGGATGGATGGATGGATGGATGGATGGATGGATGGATGGATGGATGGATGGATGGATGGATGGATGGATGGATGGATGGATGGATGGATGGATGGATGGATGGATGGATGACAACAAAAACACTGTAGTTAATAATGCACATCAACATACTAACATTAAAGATGATAAGTACAGAATTCCTGCTTTTTTCAGAACTACATTTTTGTTATATGGGGTAAAGAGAAAATGCAAGTCATATAGGAGTCTTCAGTTAATCATAGATAAATAACTATTTTAATAAAAACTTCGTAAATAAACAATTGTTGTAGATATTAGTACTTGTAAATATCAATTTTATGCATAATGATTATTGATAAAAGCAGGTAAGTAATGAAAATGGAAAAGATATTCGCCCCAGAGTCAAAACTCAAAGAACTTTATCCACTATAACTTATAACTAGGAAGCAAGGATGTATAAATATGTGTCTATTTGTTAGCAAAGGTTGGAGGAAAGTATAGTTAGTCCTTATTTGGAAAATATGGATGTTGTGGTTTTTAAATTTACTGTTGGATCAGTGTAGATTGATCCTAAGGTTCTGGTGTCGATCCACTTTTGGCCACCCCTCAGTGTACATTGGTTATTACCTGGCCACCCTTATAAAGATTTTCTGGCTACGCCTCTGCTATACCTTTCTAATAAATTAAAACTTCTGTAAATCCAAGTATTACTTTTGAGACATTATCTTGCATCTGTCCCAAATATGTTATGCTAAATCAATATAAAGAAGTTTATTTCTTAAAGCTACAGTGTGTAATAATTACAGGGATATACAGTCAGAAATGGAATATATTATACATAACTATGTTATTTTATCATCATCTACGAGCTCAGCCTCTTAACCTTAATATTTGCGTTGCCTTAGAATTCGTTATTTATAATTACATAGGAGCGGGTCTCGCAGCCATGGAGGCAGACATCTTTGCGCTACGGCAGCGCAGAGCCAACAAACTAGCGATTGCGAGTTCGCCAAAACGTCACAACGATGTAGAAAAAATAACGGATATATTTATTATCTTAAGTCTACATGAAATCTATACCCTACACAGAATAATGAAATACTATCTGTAAAATTATCTATGTAAACAAACCTCATCACTTGAGAAGGTAGGTGATGCGGACGTCGTGGAAGACATTTTGTCCCGTAACGCTCGCCGTACTGTTGGGGGGGAGAAGCAGTGGGGGGGAGATGTTCATGTTGCTGCAGTCTGCAGTCTGACCGCTAGATGTCGCTAAAAGTTACACACTGTAGCTTTAAGTATCACTTCACTTCTTTAGATTAAGATGTACAGGTGTCAAAATTTGCTCCTAATTGTTTCCACATTTTAGTAAGTTTTATGATTCCCTAGAATATTACTTTGGGGCTTGATCTGAAAATGTCACATTACCACTGGTCTTAAAAATGCTCAAAACCACTTATACTTACAGATATCTGTCAGGATTTGGTTATGGTCTGTTGACCCAAATGCAGAGGCAGGGAGGCAGAGGGAGGCAGCTTGTGGGTTTAATGAAGGGTTAACTGAACACAGAGGCAGGAAATCCAAAAATCCAAACATGAAAACAAAGTTTAAACAAACCAGAAACCAGGAATCCAAATATCAAAACATGAAAAAAGTCAAAACAAACCAGAAACCATGGAGGCATCAGGGGGGATACTATCACGAGGAGGAAAGCTTAGAGAGACGGAGTAGGAGGAAGTTAGACGAGTAACCAGCCCTGAAGAACTGAACAGAGAGAGTATTTATGGGAGACTGAAACAAAGAGAGGACTAATGAGCAGATTGGGAGCAGGTGTGAACAGGGCAGAATCAGGAAAGGAGCTAGTGAAAAAGGAGAACACAAGAGGGTAGCAGAGGGTAACAAACGAAACCCTGAAGACTGAAAATAACCAGAAAACACAACAAATAAGAAACCAACCATCAAGACTAGAAAACAAGGAGCAAAGCAAAACTAAAGACTCAAATGAAAACATGACAGAACCAAGACTGAGACAGTAACTGAGAAATAACCAGAAAACACAACAAAATGAGAATTCAACCACTAAAACTAGAAAACAAGGAGCAAAGCAAAACTGAATACTCAAATGAAAACATGACAGAACCAAGACTGAGACAGTAACTGAGAAATAACCAGAAAACACAACAAAATGAGAATTCAACCACTAAAACTAGAAAACAAGGAGCAAAGCAAAACTGAATACTCAAAAGAAAAACAGAACAGAACCAGAACTCTGACAATATCAAAGAAAACTTTCACCAATTTAATTTTGACTTGGATGAAGCAAAGATGACCTATTTTTTTATTTAATTAAATATGTATTACAGTAGTTATACTACTGTCCACCATCAGATGGCCATATTGTGCCATTTGAGATTTGTACTCTCCTGAATATCATTTCTCAGCTACTGTTTTGGAGGAAGGTGGTGCTGTTGCGCACAAGCCGCTGCTGCGCGCTCAGCGCTCCTATAGATGAGAGCGTGTTCTCCGGACAGTGTTTATGGATAACTGCAAAAAGGCAGCGGAGCCTCTGGTGACCATCCTCCTTTTTATTTTTTTTATTTTTTGCATAGAGTACTGATGTTCCGTTGAAGGATCTGAAGTTTGCTGCGCGTACGGGTTTTGACGTGCGCTCCAGTTTGGACAGGAGAAACACGATCTGATGGACTGCTTTTAAACCACACAGGAGGTTTTAACTTATTGCATTTTTCTCTTTGCACGTTTTTGTGTAAATTTGGAGATATTTTTGTTGCAGATTTTGGTGTTTAAAGTATGAAGCGGACATGGTTTTGCGCTTTGGAAGTTTAGCCATTCTCTCCTGAACTCCCCATCCTGTTTGTTTTTTTTTTTAGTTTGGTTTTTACCCCACTTTTGAAATCGAATCTGCAGGAGGATCGAGGTACGAAGGAGCAAATGGCCAACGAGCGCAAACCGCGGCTCTGCATCATGGCAAAGGGCGAGAACGGGTATGGATTTCACTTGCACGGCGAAAAGGGGAAAAGCGGCCAGTTCATCCGCAAAGTGGAAACAGGCTCCCCTGCAGAAGCGTCGGGAATGCGCGCCGGGGACAGGGTGGTCGCGGTGAACGGAGTCAACGTGGAGAGGGAGACGCACCACCAGGCGAGTGCTCCACGCGTGGGCATTCATATTGATGATTTTTACTCCAATTACAGCCCGGTGCGCTGTCTGCATGAGGGTGCATGTATGTATGGTCATATAGCCTGACAGAAACAAGCAGGACAATCAGGCTTCTTTTTTTTTTTTTTTTTGCTTCTGTTGCACTTTTCCAATCGCATGATGAATTTGGAAAAGGAGTCCACTGACTTTCTGGAATTTTACCCAGTCATAGAAACTTTTCATAGATATACGCAAGATACCAACAGCAACCCGCCTGCACAGCATATCTGTGCCAAGAAAAATCTGCAAATAAACCAACTGCCTTCTGTGTCTGTAAATGAGGTTAAAACTGTCTGCAGTTCTGTCTGAACTCGGTTGCTTCACTCTAGGGATTTGGCTGTTGTTCACAGAGAGTCTGAAGGGTTTTATAATTATCTACAGGCTCCCCCTGTGACTGTTGCAGCAGAGATAACACAAGTTGGGTTAAGCTCTCATAACACATCTAATGTCCTTTTCATTTCATTGGGACAGATTAAACTGGTTGTGCAATGATGCCTGATGACATTGTTGCAGACCATGAAAATAGCCTTTTGGTTCTGCAGTCCTACTGTATAATGGATCTAATGCTGGGTTTTGTTTTTTGCCACTGTGATGGTCCAGAATGAGCCAAAAGGAACAAAACAAATGAAACCCACAATAGTTTAAGAGGAACATAGGCTCCCAGCAAACATATTTCTGCTTTTGTTAAAAGTTAACCTTTATATGGTAATATTTTATATAATGCTTAGTTAACATTTTCACCACATCCTTTTGTTTGTGAGTTTTTTTCTGATCAAATCAAGTTTCACAATATTCACATCACTTTCACCCTTTTTTTTATTATTACTTTTACAGCATTTAACTTCATTGTGTTATATAGGAATATTTTATAGTAGTAGGGCTTAATTATGACGTATCAGTAAAATAACTGTTTTCTGCGTATTTCTTCTTCATTTAAAATTTGAAACGAGAAGTCTGCTTCAGTATTTACTGATATTGCAAGAAATATTTTGCAGAGTCACCTTGTGTTGCAATTAAAGCTGTAGATCTATTGGGTATGACTCCAGAAGCCTTACCCATTCATATTGATAGGCTTTCAGCCAGATCATGGCTGTGTATTTAGGATTGTTATGCTAGATCCACAGCCTTTGGTTGGTCTACTTAAATGATTGTCTTTTGACTACCCTGCCTAGAGCTTCACAATAGTTTAAATCACAATCATCTCGCAGTTTCATTAGGGGAGTCTTGTAATCAGAAAGGACTGTTTGCAATCAATACTATATTATAATACCTCCAAGTTTCATGCATCCAATATCCAGCATATCTCTCTTTCTGCTGAAGAAAAGCATCCCCTCAGTATAATGCGGTCACTGCCATGTTTAACTGTGGGAATGTTTTTTTTCAAGCTGATGTGCAGAGTTAGTGTTCTGCAACACTCCAACATCACGAAAAAGTGAATGATAATAATAATAATAATTGGACTCATCTCAACGCATCTCTGCATTTAACACACCTCTGTGGGGAGCAGTGGGCTGCCATTGTGTGGCGCTGGGGGAGCAGTGTAGGGTTAAGGGTTTTTGATCAGGAACCCAGAGTGCAGGCTGTGGGGATCAAACCAGATACTTGCACCCTCTCAGAGCACAAGTGCACTGCTCTAGCCACAAGGCCAACACTCCCCCACTGGGCCAACTTTAGAACCTTTACATTTTTTGTTAGTCTGTCTCTGCAAAATCCCAGTAAAGTGCATTGAAGTTTGTGGTTGTACTGTGACAAGTCATTCAGACTATTCCTGCAAAGGAATGTACTGAAGCCAAACCTTGTATTACGTACTGAAAATACACATATGCAACTTTAAACCAGGTGATGAAGTATTATGTCCTTCTCCCAGGTGGTACAACGGATCAAGGCAGTAGAAAGTGAGACCAGGTTGCTGGTTGTTGATCAGGAGACATACGAAAGCCTCCGCAGCCTGCATCTCACAGCAACAGAGGAGATGGCCATTATTGGGACAGATGCTCTTCCTCCTGCTTCCTCCCCTCCAGCCTCCCCATCATCTGCACCCTCCTCCACACCTTCCTCCCCCACCAAGAAGCGCCAGAATGGCTCAGTGTCCAAACAGGATGGCAAGGTGCAGAAGCCCACCAGAAGGTCACCATCGAAGGCTGTAAAAAAGGTGAGCTCAGATCAAGTGATCATGCTATAAAAAGAAAAAAAAACATGTGCAAACAGATTTCAGGTTTTGAGTCATATGTTTTATCTGTTTCTCTCAACTCATTCATGGCTACAACCTGGACTTGTTTTGTGGCTGTCATGTCGGTTTAAGATCTGATTTGTAGACGTCGGGCAGGTTCTGCAACCTCACTCACTTTGTGTACTGAGGGGGTAACATAGCATAGCTGTAAGACTGCCAGATGTTTTTTTAGAAGTAAAAGTGAATCCTGAAATGTCAGAAAGTGAAACCTGCTGGAAGTCATAAGGTCTAGTTTCTGGAAAGCTGAAAGAAAAAAAAGCTTCTAGCCCAAATCTTAAGCTGAAAGTTTTGTTTTGTTTAAAGGAAAAAGTGAAGAAAAAATGTGCTTACAGTTTCATATTTCTGTTTATTTTTGATTAAATTAGTAGGATTTTATTGCTTTGTTTTAGTATTTTATTCCATGCTGACAATGTGAATCATCGTATCTCAGTGTGAACAGCACTGTGTCTGCACAAAGATCAGTTCAGATTCCGTTTCATGGAGTCTCTATAAAAAAGAACATGCAGCTCCCCTTCTGCTTTCTGCAGCCACACCACATGTGTTTTCACTTAGTGGTGCCCTGCTGAAATGCTACGACCATTCAGGCACTTATTCTGCATGAGATTTGACATCTTAAGAGCTTTGGATTTTGAATATCTTGGTGATGTTGTTTAGTTTTTGTTTTTTTGTCTTGGAAAGTTTACAATTCTGAGCTGGACTAATCCAACCAAGGTTTGTAAAGTAAGTTTTTTCTCCAGTAGAATACAAAAAGGGAAAACAGGAAAGAAACACTCAGTAGGCTGCATCAAAATGAATTACCCTTTTAAAATGAAAAGCATACTTTAAACAAGCACCTCAGCTTCCTGTTGCATCTCAAAGGAAATCATCTTCATATAGGTATTAGGACTCAGGATTGACACACCACACCAATAGAGCATTTAACGTCTTCTGCAGAGCTCTTTTGCGGTTGTTACTGGGAAAACAGATTTGGCTTTTAGTCCAGTAAGTAAAAACAAATGGAAAAACAGTCTGGTCAATGAAATGGAGAAAAAAACACACAAAAAATAGCTGTTTGCAGAAGAAATGCAAGTTTGTTTATAGAAACAAAATGACTTTTAAAAGCTAATTTCATTACATGTTTCCATTGACTGACTGACTGTAATTTTCTAACTTCATACTAAAAGAAATCTTACTCATTCTTTACAGTTCTTTTAAATTAAGTCACGCTGACTCATTTTTAAAACATAAACGATTAGCGACCTTTCCAGGGTGTACCCCACCTCCCGCCCATAGAACGGCTGGAGATAGGCACCAGCTCCAACTTTAATGAATTGCTTTAATTGGTAACAAGTATTTGAATCAAGTTTATCCAATTTGATTTGTTAAGTTTATAAGTTAGAAAAAATCAATTAAGTTGGGCAAACCTAGTTCAATTACTGATGGTATTCTGTTCTTTTTTTTTAAACTACTGAATTAGTTTTGCATCAGATGATGTTACATCTGATGCAAAACTAAGTCCTAAAGTTTAAGTCCTAAAGAAAAGACCTAGTAACCCTTTCTATTGCATCTCATCTTTCATCTGTTCCTAATGTGTTTGTTCTTGAGATGTTTTAATCAACTTTTTGTTGTCGTTAACTGAATGCTTTGTTTGCCAGATAGCAGAATTAGGAAAGCTTGTTTTTCCTTAGTGATTCTAAAAGAGAATCACAAACAGTAGTGGACAATTAATTTTAAATGTTTTAAACAATTTCTTTATTACGAAACATTGTTTCCTGACTCAATAAATACACTTGAAATAAAAAGAGACTTTTGTTAAAAAAATATGTGGTTAAATATTTCCACAGTAAAAAATAATTTAAGCTCTTTTTGCAGTGGGGCGTGACATAAACGGGTCTTGGATTGTAAATATTTGACAGTATACACAGTGAGTTGTATGCCAGGTCTTATTTTCTCTCACCAAGCCACAGGACACGACAACCATTGAGAGCAGCACATTTCTCCTCATATTCTTCTTCTTAAGAGAGGTCAGAGGAGAAAAAACAGCCTTCCTGACATTTAAAAGCATTTTGAATCGGTACAGAGGAAACCTTAGACTCGTAGGAGCCAGTATTATACTTGCTAAAAGCAAACTCTCACTTTGAGTTTAGTATCCACCCACAACGGGGCAGGACAGTGGGAAAGCAAAGGTTTTCTAATGACGATGGTACATTTAAGGTGTGCGTTTTCAGGAATAGAGTTTGCTGAAGAAACTCACACTGCTTTGTTTTTACATACTTTGATTTAATGATAAAAAAGTTTATTTGAATAAGCATTAATAATGGGCTGCTTAATCAGGTAAGCACTTTGATAAAGATCATTAATAAAAGAAAATAACTTCCTGACTGTTAAAGTCTAGGAAAGTTTTCAAACCCATTGACTTTTTAAAAGTTTTACCTTAAACTTCAATGTATTTCCTTTAGATTTTCCAATACAAAGAAGAGCATCACTGTGAGGTACAGAGAAGAATATTAATTTTCAATGAATTATACATTAGCTGGATTTAGTCTGGAATCTGAACGGGACCCACTAAGACATGACTGCCTTGATCTAAACAACACGTCATACTCAAGGCCCACAGCAACTCATCTGGCACCAAGAGTCAAAAAATGACATAAAGTAGAGGCATGTATTCTTTTAAAGTGACCAAGGTAGGCAAAACAGCAAAATACATTATTTATTATGCAATAAATTACTATAACAGAACAGTGTGCCATTTGCTAATGAAAAATTGGAATAGAAATTGAATAACTGTAACCGAAACTGGTCCTCTTAAAGTCTAGATCAGGGGTATTAAACTGGTTCCAGTAAGGGCGGTGTTGCTGCAGGTTTTCTGTCCAACCAAGCAATAGCACACCAGACCCCAGTCATCTCATCAAGTGAGTCCAATCTGAACATGATAACTTGATGAGATGACTGGAGTCTGGTGTGCTATTGCTTGGTTGGAAAGAAAACCTGCAGCCGGAACCACTTTGACACCGCTGGTCTAGATTATGTTTAAGGGGTTCGATATAAAAATGAGTTTGCCATCCCTCATCTAAATCATCCTTTCTAGCCCTGATTTTAAGTTAGAGGACGTTATCCTGCTGAAAGATGAACCAACACAGTCTTTAGTTTATTTGCAAGCTATTTTATTGTTTATTAATCTTCCCATCTCCCATCCCAACTTTGACAGTCGTTCAAAAAAAGGATCCTGACTACATGATGGTGTCATGACAATGTTTTGTGTGGTGATGTGTTGTGATACTTTGCATCCACACATAGTTTTCTTTAGTTGTTGTGTTTTTGTTGTTGTTTTGTTAAATTTTTTTTATTTTAGGACACTTATTTAAGCATTTCTAAAACTTAATCCCTGCCCTGTCTAAGGTGTTTGTTGTGCTTTATAAGGTTGTTAGTTCACTAATGCTGTCTAACAAACCTCAGGCTTTGACAGTGCAGCTGTAAGGTGGAATCTATTCACTACTCAGAGGACAACTGAAGGCTATTGTTAGCACTGATTCTTTTTAGGTTAATAAATATCAGCTGTAAACATTTGCCTGCTAAACTTTACAGGGTAAAGTAAATCTACAAAAAAAGCCTTAACTAACTTTCTTCCACAAACATATGCTGTGCTGTGTTTTTCACATAAAATATCAACAAAAAGCTAAGTTGTGCAATAAAGATCACAACAAAATACATTTTGTTTTGTAAATGTTTTGCTTTATAATGAAAAAACACACAAAAATGTTAAATACCATCTTACTGTATATTGAAATAAACATGTTTTTTAATGAATTTACATAGATAATGTGTGAACAATAACTGGTGTTTAATATTTAATGCATTACCAGTTCTTCCTTGGATGTTTAAATTTAATGCACATACTGTACAGTCCCTATTCACTTAAATCACCTTTTTATAGTTAAATTGTTTTTTGTTTTTTTAAGTGAGTAAAGTAAGTGTACCGCAAATTAGAAGAAAAAGAGATTGTCATAATTTTTACTTTTGTTGAGCATAAAAATATTGAGAAGCATTAGTTTATTTCAAATCATTTTGAAATTATTGGATTTGGCCTATAGACTGAGGTCAGGACATTCTGAAAGCCTTTTCAGTATGGAAAGATTTATGTTTCTGCAATAACGTGTTTTATTAATCCTCAAAGCAAAATTTAAAACAGCAGTGAGATTTCTCCTGATCTCTAAACATGAATATCAATCACAGCTTTTATAGGGTCTACACTCACACACAGGTAAAATGAAATGCAGCTAGATACAAACATCTCTGCATCATACTTTCCTGCACATCTGCCTAATGAATATCCCAGTCAAAGGTTTAGGGGAGTGTTTGTGCCTATGTTCTCTAGGTTACATAACACTGCCTGTATTTTTCTTCTGTTTTAAGGCCATCCATCTCCAAGGTTTCCTTCTTGTTGCATTCCTGTTGCCTCTTGATTTGTGATGCAGGAAATAGCTTTCTGCTCACAAAAGATAATGTGTTTTCAACCTTTTTTACTTTATTTGCTTATATCTTTGTACAAAAGATAATTTAATCTGAAATTATTAGAAGGAATTCCATTTTATTTTTATTTTTATATTTTCCATGTATTATTTCATGTTTTTTAGCCTGAGAAAGTATGGTTTAATGCACATTTGATATTGACTTTTTCTATAAGAGCAGGGTTTCCTTCGATCTATGAAAGATGATACAATTTTATCATGATTTTAAGCCATAAGACCAAATGCTGTGTGCATTGCTAGTTGTTTGGCATTGTTTTTTTGTTTTTTTTACTGCAAATCTTTTCGTTGATAGTGGGGGATTATTTCCTGTTGCAAATATTCACAAATTGGTCATTTACACCTGCAAGTAAAAGAAAGCCATTTAGTTTTTTGACGTCTCTAGCCTGATGACACTATATTTAAAAAGAGTAG